GGGTGCTAACAGACTCCTGACATTTCCCTTTTGATAATAGAAATCAGGGGTGTGGAAATTTAGAGAAAAAAATGCTTGTCCAAGAACTAAAGCAGGGGCCCAATCTACTAATTTTAGCCAAAACCGTATTTAACAATCCTAAAAAGCACTTTTCAGAGGTCAGCCAATGAGTGCTCACATTGTGCGAGCAAAATTCTAAATCCATAGTACTATGTGTCCCCAGTTATGAATGAACAGGAAGTGCTTTACAACACTTCCTTTTCATTCATGGGGAGCACTCACTACAGAGGCTTCTATCCATTGATAACTGGATGATAGTAAAATATTTACTATCTCCATTTTCTGAATGAATGGGAAGCCTCTGCACTGAGTGCTCTCCATTCATAGAACAGGGTCTGTAGAAAAAGAGATTGAGTACTCTGTGTCCTCAATTTCTTTTTCTATTTCAAAAGGGAAACGTCACTATTAGACATGTGCAAAGACTAAAAAATTGTTTTGGACTAAATGAACGGAAACTAAAACTTTTTCATTAGTTTAGACAAACTAAACAAATGTTTATGCTATTTCAGATTTGGTCACCGGTGCGTTCTGCACATCCTGGAGACAGGGCGCATGACGCCACATGCCTGTTCCAGGGGACGTCACACGCCTGTTGGAGGGGCACAGCTTTCTGTTCTTTCCTCAGGTGAAAAGGAACTAGTTACGGCTCTGCCTGGAGTGCATATAAATAGGAAGCAACTGCAAAAAAGCTGCAGGAGATGGACAACACTCAGATGGAAAAAAAAGGATAGAAATGGGGGAAACACAATAATTTATTGAAAATAAAATAAATGGTTTATGATACGCAGTGCTTTAACAAATCGATGTCACAGAGAAAAGGGAACCAATGATACGGGGTTACAAGGTTTCCTAAGACACATTGATTATATAAGGGGCTCCTCCATAGCAGCCCAGTTGTCCTGTCATATAGATGAATCCCTGTATAGGGCTGTGAATGGCTAGAACAGAGATGACTCTTTTAGTAGTACATGACAGGGCACAATGTGCCTCTACCTGTAATCACAGCCGATGACACTGCGATCGCAGGACAGTATAGAAAATGATTATATAACACAGCAGACCCCTCTGTAGCTGCACACAGGACAGGTAATGAACACCCCAAAACATGGAGAGAGGACTCGGCTTCTTCCCTTTATACAGAATGGTAGCCCTTCCCAACATGACATGACATTACGAACTACAGGACCACCAACCTGGCAAGCACAGGCACAAAATCTTCACGGCCACTCAATAACGTGCAGATCAGGAAGCCATAGAGACGCAAACAGTTCCCAAATCAGCCGCAGCGCCGCCTAGAGGCCCAGATGACTCATGACATGTCAATGACGGCAGCAGTACATTGCTTGTCAGGAACGCTCATATTATAAGATAAACAGGGACCTACATCTGTCCACTCCTACCCTACTGCTCCCTCATAATCCTCTTCATGGGATTATAAACAGCACAGCAACAAAAAAACACAATAAATAAATAAGGACACAAATAACTACAAATGGATGAACCTCTTAGGCCTCATTCACACTGCGGCACGTATGTGCGCGCATACGCGCGAAAGTGCGTATTGTACCATATGCAAATAAATAGCTCCATACATACAGCCGCGTATAGAGCCGTATATTTGTGTAGCGTATATATGCGCAAAAACAGAATGGAAAAGAGATGCGTCCGGGCAGCGTATTTCTGCGTATTCTGAGTATACGCGCTTACATGAGTACAGCACATTAAAAATTCCATTACGAGTGATGCATTCTGGGATTGTATATATTGTACGCATATACGCGCGTATACGCTCGTATATACGCAATATACAATTTTGCTTGCGTTGTGTGTGAATGAGGCCTTAGTGACACAGCTTCAGAACGTGTTTTAGTTCCTGGGGACTAGAACACATTTTTGCTATGTATTTGTTTAACCATAATTTCCGTCTTCCTCATTCATTGCATCTACACATCTTAGATAGCGTTTTGAAATGACACAATGGGCTTTAATTTGATGTGGCATATGCATCTATAAATTCTTATTTTTTTAATTAAAAAAATGGGGAAAAAAAACATTTTTCACAGTTTTGGCTATAATCAGGGCCGGTCTTAGGCCTTTAGGCACCCTGTGCGAGAAAGCTTTACAGCTTGGACGAGCTGTGTCGGCCGCACGGCGCCCTTGTTGCCATGGCGCCCTGAGCGGCCGCACTGCTCGCACACCCCTAAGGCCGGCCCTGGCTATAATAATATGTATATAATTAGTGTACCTAACAAAAAGTAATTCATAATACATTCTTTTATTTGCCCTGATTTATAGGGTATATCATATGTCTGGGATTTCAGTTTATTTTTGGAGTTATAGGACACAAAATACAAGGAGTGAAATACAATTTTAGTGTGGAACAATTTTAGAATGTGGTATGTTTGTCTCCTATCTTTAATAGCCATCACAGAAAGCACAATGACCACACAAAAGTCTATATTTATATAAAGCAGACACCACAGGGTATATAGGTATTTTGACACTTTCCATGTCAGGGATCCCAACCTGAAATAAGTCATTTCAGGGAGGTGTCCTCTGTCTGGAGTTGCAACAACAAGGAAGAGAACACCCCCTGAAATGATGGCAGAGCGCAAAGAATCTTATGCTTCCTTTGCTATCTGCTGTTTTTTTAGTGTTCTGACAGCTGCTGCTGTCAGAACATAAAACAACCCCCAAAAAACAGCATATGAATGCATAGCTAGATTGC